TTCATAGGTCTGGGTAAATGATGCTAAACTCTGCCATTTCAGCAGATAAGATTTAATTCTTGAAAAGAATTGAGAAATGGTTTCTCCCGGCTCTCTTTTAGCATTACGAAATTTGTTACGATATGCAGAGGCCGTCAACTCATATCTCTTCAGCAAAGAATTTTTCAAGAACTCGAAGTTGGTCTCTTGACCAGGAGGCAATCTCGAATAACATTCATAAGAAGGACCTCTTAAAGACAGTGAAAGTTTCAGACACCACTTCTCTTTATCCAACAAATAAGACCTAGCAACGTTTTCGAATTTTTCCAAAAACACATCCATTCTATCCTCGCGTTCATTAAACTGAGGAAAAGGAAAAGACATCGGCCCAAGAAGGTGAGGATGGCCAAAAGAATGTGCCTCAGAGACAGAAGGTTGCGCATTAACTGCTGTACTAGAGGTAGACTGAGATTGTAAATCAAGCTCTCTGAGACGGAGTTCATGAGCTCTCATCTCTCGTTCTTTCTCAGCAGCTATCTCAGCTAGTCTGATGCGTTCTTGTCTTTCTCTCTCCTCTCGCTCGATCTCCTCTTGACGCCTTTCACGGTCCTCCTGTCGCCATTCTCGTTGTATCTCCTGAAGATATGCCTTTAATTCTTCGCCAGCATAACCGAGAGTTTTCCCCAGCTCCGCCAACTCCATAAGTGAGGGTCTTGTTGCCATTTTACCTGCAGAATATACTTTAAAAGAACACACGCAAACACCAATCAAATTAACACAAGTGTAAAGTTATTATATTGTTTTCCCTAAAGCTAATTTTTGCCTAATATTATTTACCTTTAAATTCCTACCAATTTCCTATTAATGACTACTTTTAATGTCCTAACTTTTAAAAAAAAATCCCGCTTAAGAGACCCCAATTGTAATCAACTATTTTTTTTGGCGGAATCTATCGTCGCCTGGAGATCCCCTATATCCTTCCAAATTAACTTACAGGGCTCGAATTAAATAAGTCTAGGGGAATTATAACGGTCCCTGAGTTCTGGAAAATAGAGGAAGGAGAATACAGAAAGTTAAAGAATAGGGTGAATCCCCGAAAATGTCCTAAAGAAATTCAGAAAAACCACCAAAGTCAAAACTTTGTAAATTTAACTCAAATAAATTGCAATGAACAATCTTTAGTCTACCTAAGAAGTAAATTTGATACGATGAAATCAATAAATGGAATTTCTAAACCACAACTGTATTGATAAAATACTGATATTGAATTCAACAATTTTCAAATTAACACAGAGAAAATAAATAAATGTATCATCATGACACCACATTAATTTATACAAATATTCAGTAACACTCAGCACTCAGCTTTACGATATACGGGATGTGTCCAACTGCAGCTTCTCTGGGAGGAATGTACAAGATTCTGGCTGCGACTGTTATAGTCCTCGCCTAACTGCGACATTCATCTGTGAGATCTCGGTTGTTCATTCTATACCGTCTGGTTCCCAATTCACAAGGTAACAGGAATGGCAGCTCACGATCCACAGGTAACAGGGATGGTGGTTCACAATCCACAGGTAACAGGGATGGTGGTTCACAATCCACAGGTAACAGGCATAGCGTAAAACGGGAATACGGGATTATGGTCCTCTGGTAAACAGGCAGGCAGGACTACGGTAACACGGGAACCTGCGGAATACATCATTCAGCCCTGTGTTGAGCATTATGTCGACACATCTGGAGCAGGTGGAGGTGTTGCGGTGTCTGTGGTGTTTTTCAGAGTAGTAAGCAAGAAAGAACAAGGTTCATATGTTGTCTTTCCCTACAAGTAAATCAAAATTATACATCTCCACCCTATTATAATATGTTGGTTTATACCTATCTAAATTATGGCACGATCATATAAAACTTGACATAATTAAGCGGACACACATTCGCCTGCGGATTGGACAGTTATTAGTTCGAGTCCCAAAACCCAGGTCGACTTCGCCTTAACGGACACCAGGTATAGTAATGGGAAGTAAAGGCGGCAGGTGTGATGTTGACCACATCAACACCTAGGTACCAATTGGTCTATAACACATAGGCCAACCCTATATGCCCACAATGCTGACGACTTTTACTCAAATCATGTGTTGCATAATATAATGACATAAACAATGTAATGTATACCCAACTGATGATACCACATGGCACAGGATAATGGTTTCTACTATAAGATCTTTACGCAAGTAGACCGAATGAATATAAGAGTGACAGAGGGAAGAAGGGTTCGCTATTGAATAGTCCTAACGGGGAATAGTAACTTTAAGAACGTCATAATATGTAAGGACTAGTGAATTGTCCAACGGACAAGTATCAAGGTTGATGAAGTTACGGAATATCTATACAATGGTAGAATATAGAATAGTAGGATCTCAATAAAATATTTTAGGATACAGCTAAGGCTTATAGGGGATCTCAGCTACTCCCTACCATTATAAATCTCACCTGAAATAGTATATGGTATTATTATTGTGGGTGAGGCCGATGGTATGGCTGGCAATCGTTCTGTGTTGTGACGAAATTAGGTCTCCTAGTAACACCACAAAACGTCATAAATTATGTGCGCCTTCGTACCTTTTTATTCTTTTAGCATCTATGTTTAAATATATTTATTTTACGTGCGCAATTCTTTTAACTAAAACTGGCAATTAACTCTTGCCGGACTGAAATATTTCTCCCGTTTTGTCACACCCAGAAAGACTTTTTCCAGCTGAAGGACCTGGAGAAGCTATGTCCCAAAGAAAAGGGCATCACATCCATGTCTGTCAAGGAGGTGGTCCAGAGCCTGGTGGATGATGGGATCGTGGACAGTGACAAAATCGGTACCTCCATCTATTTCTGGGCCTTCCCCAGTAAAGGAACACAAAATGTATGTCTTCATGTTTGTCTTATTCATTTCTTGTAACCAGTTTTATGTTCCAGGTCTTCTTGGTTGTTTTCTGATTTGTTTCTAGTAACCTATTTTATGTTCAGCTGTGCTGTTGGACTAGACGCTCGCTCTCCTGCCAGCTAAAGGTCTTGGGTTTAAATCTGCAGTTTGTCAGATTTGTATTAAAAAAATGACCTTGGATCCCAGGTCGACATAGCCTAAAATGGATGCAGTGCAGACTGCAATTTTCTTCACGCTGTGGTGCTTAAGCAAGTTTTAGTTCAGTGTTTTAGAATATCATACACTTTCGAAGCGCCGGAGTCATATACATCAAAAATGGTTTGCACAGATTCACTGATAATAGTTTTTTTTTGTTTTTATTTTTTGCATTTTCACTTTTACTGTGATTGACAGTGCATAATGTTTATGTTTGCTGAAATCAGTGTCTTTTTCTCCTTCTTTTATGTCTACTCAAGGAATGCCTTGCAGCGTCAAGACAGGAAGAGATCTCTGGAACAGGCCCTTCTGTTTGCCTCGTATATAGTACTTTTAAGTGTCTGCAGTCCATTTTCTGCATGGTTGACCTCTGGATCTGTCACTGCTGCATCTCTATAACAATTCTATCTGTGGTGCCCAGTCTGTTGCCAATTTGGTCATGTGGTCAAACCATGTGATCTGTTGTTAGCCCATGAAGTTCAGTCCTGGTTTTGAGCTGACTGTGCTCCAGAAAAAAATGAAGAAGAAGCAGAAGAAGAATAAGAAAAAGAGGAAGAAGAAGAAGAAGAAGAAGAATGACATATTAAAGCAATGAATGAGTATTGTGTAATTCAGCTAAACAAATTACCATCTTTTTCATTTATTTAAACATCTGTGGATTACAGGTTAGCTATCGCAGCCTAGCTGTAAACCACAACACAGTGGGCTGCCTACCCTTTTAAGGGTGAAAGCAGAAGAAGAATAAGAAGAAAAAGAAGTATTGGCTGTGCATGTCTTGTACCAGTAGACTTTGTTATTATTGTTTTCTGTGTGTGAACTCACTAATGACCCAAGTAGTCGCTCTGATGTGGTTAAGAACAATGTTCTTCAAGCCATGGGCCACAGCCCACAGATGGGCTGCATAAAAGTCCCGCCAACATTTCTGACCCCTTAGAGTAAGAGAATATTCGGTACAATATTTTTTGCCTCCCCCAAACACGAAATTCCCGTGGGAATTCCACAGCTGACTTGACAGTTCATTATTTCAAGGGGTGCAAGTGTGCTGCTGTCTGCTGCTGTTTTTGAGTGTTCATCTAGTGTCTTATGGTGCGACATATTTCGGTCTGTTGATGCGCATTTGGCTGCTTGATGATGCGCAATTGGCCGGTCTGCAATATTAGTTATGTTTTCATAACATGTCAACATGTGAGTGCATAGCGTAGTTGGTATCACATCTGCCTTGTATCAAATGAAATGTAAATTGTGTGTGTTTTTGTTGTCACAATGTTTTTTTTAAAATAAAATGTAAATTGTGTGTTTTAAATGAAATGTAAATTGTGTGTGTGTGTGCGTGTGTGCGCGCGTGCGCGTGTGCGCGTGTGAAGATGCCGTGTTCAATACCGACGTTATCCATTGTGAATTTCCTTTTTTTTTCAAATGAAATGTAAATTGTGTGTGTTTTTGTTGTCACAATGTTTTTTTTTTTAAATAAAATGTAAATTGTGTGTTTTAAATGAAATGTAAATTGTGTGTGTGCGTGCGCGCGCGTGTGTGCGCGCGCGTGTATGTGCGCGCGTGCGTGCGCGCGCGCGTGCGTGCGCGTGTGCGTTTTTTTTAAAAATAATATATAAATTGTGTGTTTTAAATGAAATGTAAATTGTGTGTGCGTGCGTGCGTGTGTGTGTGTGTGTGTTTTGTTGTTGTTGTTGTCACAACGTTTTTTGTAAAAATAAAATGTAAATTGTGTGTATGTGTGTTTGTTGTCACAACGGTTTTTTTTTCACTACATGTAAAATGTGCACTTTGGCTATGTGAACTCTATGTGCAATCGCAGGAAATGCCGATTGGGGTACTGTGGGGGGCCCTAAAAAGGGCCAATCATTCTACATGAATACTGCTGGGTTCACGCACGAATTGACAATCACAGAGATTGTACACGTTAGTAGATCTGAACTGAGGTCAAACTGCGGTGGCAGAAGAGACGACGGACTAGTAGTCTCTCGGGAGCCAGAATCTAGCAATGTCTGCTAGTATGGTTTCAAACATGTCGCCACCCGCACGTTGAGCGCGCCTGCGCCACAGAAACTCACACATGTAAGATTCTAATAAATGTCTGTGGGTGCCATTCTGGCTCTTGTTTCTCTCCTTTGCCGACCTCCACAAACGTTCGATGCATTGCGTATGAGCACCTGTGGTGGGGTCGACAAAATTAATGGAGTGATTGTTTCTGCAACTTCTGGTTCTGTGCAGAATGCCATGCTGTTGCAGGAAGGCAATGCTGCTTTCTTTGTCTTGTACAGATGCAACTAGCTGTAGAAAATTCATCGTGACTGCTGCTGGAAACAATGGCAACTGACTGACGCCGGAAAAGAGCGGTAAACATACGTCATCAATGTTGACACTTTTCTTTGACAAAAACATCCAAAATGGAGTCAAAAAAGATCTTAAAATATCCAAATTTGCGTGGAAAACATATAGAAAAAAAATCCAAACGGGAAGAGTCACAAATTACATAGCTATTAATATGACTAAAATGTGTAGCATTAATCTGTACCGAAAAGTAAATGTGGCCAGTGTAACAGCTACCACATCACCCTTAGAGTGCCAGTACTACTGCTGCTACCACTACCACCACCACCCCCACAACAACAACACAAAACGGTCACTACTGTCTGTACAGGTCGTTGTAAGTGTGCCCCCGACATAAAACTCCATCACTTAACCATGGGCGAACGCAAGGGGAAAGGGGGGGGGGGCATTTGCCCTGGATTGATTGAAAAAAAAAAAAAACGAATGCTGTTGCTTGTTCATCTGCAGCAGCAACGCTATCACCTGAACCAGACCCGGACAAACTTGAAAGTGGAGATACTATGTTAACCTAGGACATTGAACTCTGTGTAAAATCTACTACGAAGATTCGATCTTAAGCTCAAGTATCGTTTGCTAACTGATCCATACAAGCCTCACCCGTCATATGATTTTGAAGGCGACATGTCAGGAAGTGGAAAACGTTGTTTCAGGAAATCTTGGCTAACCCAGTATTCTCTATGGTTATCATATTCACCTAGGTTAAAAAGTGCTTTTTGCATTTTCTGTGTTTTATTTCCGCAACCAGTTCAAAAAGGAATTCAAGGTGCCTTCATTACTACTCCTTCTACAAAGATTTTAATGAATGTGCCAGAAACTAGCTCAGCATGGCATCGTGGGTCTTAACAAGATGCTGAACACTTGGCGTCAACCATTAGAGATCCAAAAAAGGATATTATTTGTCAGATAGATAACTCCGTAAAACTAACTATTGAAGAAAACAGAAAGAAACTGTATCCTTTTATTTCAACAATCTTATTTTGCGGAACAAATGATTTGGCAATTCGTGGGAAAGATAGCACCAAAGGAAATGTCGAACAACTTTATACGTATCGAATTGAGGGAGGAGACAGTATTTAAAAAAAAAAAACATTTTGATACAACTGCTGGAAATGCACGTTACACATCACATAGAACGCAGAATGGTTTGATTAATTTGTCTGAACAAGCTTTGCGAGAAGACATTGTAAAAGCTGCTAACAATGCTGTTGGATTCTTGATCATAGCCGATGGAACAGCAGAAATCTTAGGAGCAGAACAGTTATCACTGGGAGTCCGGTTTGTAGAGAAGGCTATGATTCGTGAGGAATTCCATGGATTTTCTCCGCTGAAAGGTATGGACGCCGCCACGATATCTGATTGTATTATTCTACATTGCAAAACATTTGGTCTTCTCCTTAATAATCTGCTGGGTCAAGGTTATGATGGGTGCTCGACAATGGCCGGAAAAGAAAATGGTGTTCAGGCGAAAAATGCGAAGAATTTACCCCAAGGCTGCCTTTGTTCGCGGTGCCTCGCATATACTGAATCTCGTTGAAAATGATCTTAATAATGTTGCATTGATACGAAATACAATTAGTACTATCAAAGCAATTATTACATTTTTTTCTTGAAAGCCCAAAAAGGAGGTCCTCTGTCCCAAATATTCCTATTCTGTGTGAGACAAGATGGACAAGCAAGTATAAAAGTATTCAGATTTTTTTTAGTAAATTTGCCAACTGGAAACATTTTCATTGCATGCAAGTGGAAATACACGACAGGCTGCACATCAGTTACATTGTTCATCAAAGTCCAGCACGTTTTTATTTTGTCTCAATATTATTTCTCAAGACTTGGAACCAGTTACTCAGGCTCTTCTAGCTGTTCAAGTTGATCTTCCAGAAGTCCAACTGCAAGTTCAAAACCTGCTCAGTGTAGTAAAACTTCACCGAGGTGATTCCGATAACTATTTCAGGGATATTTTTGTGAAAACACTACAACTCGCACAGAAAGTGGATACTGAGCTGATTATCCCAAGACAGAGTGGAAGACAAAAGTATCGAAGTAATCCGGGAACCATAAGTGTTGAAGAGTACTTCAAACTGTTTACATTCCATACTTAGATTCTCTAATTAACTCAACTGAGAGTCGATTCTGTGAAGCCAACAGTGCACAATTTAACTTAGCGTTGCTACATCCTTCGAAATTGTGCAAACTGAATCGTAAAAAGTTTAACGATATAATGTCTACTATTATTCAGATATACTACATTGATAATTTTGAAACTTCTTCTTCTTCTTCTTCTTCTTCGCGTTCACCAGCTGAACACTCTGGCGTAAAGTTTTGGTTGCTCATCCATTTCTGGACTGCAGCCATGCTCCAGAACATGAGTGTTGCGTGTGCATCAGTTTTACAGATCTGATTCAATTGAATGCAGACTGTTGGTTCCTCGCCTCTCA